CGAAATTTATTTTTAATCCTAGTTTTTAATTTATACGGTAAACACTATATTTTAGATGCTAGCCACTTTGGTGGATAAATTTACTCTTGTTTACAAAAGAGTGAAATAAGATAAATCTTCTCGTACAGGGAAGTGTTGATTTTTTTTATATATCCTTTATCTATTTTTGGTGACCAAAATTCAATAAATGTTGCCATGAATAATAAATAAAAATCTCTCTATCAAAATAACTGAAAATAGAATTAAAATCTAAGAAATTACCCAAAACAGCAAAATAAAGTGGATTCTTTCACAGACCTTAGCTATCGTGATGAACAGTGGAGGAAATAAGTTTTTTTTTTTTTTGCATTTTCCTCTTTTTTTTTCTTTTTTTTCATTTAATATTTGTTTGGTTTTGGATTTATTTTTATAAATTATTTTAATTTACTTTTTAGTGGATGTCGTGGTCTCAAATATATGTATTGGCATCTAGTTTATGCTCGATTTTATAAATATTTATTTTTATTATTATATAATTGAGTAAAATATATTTAAAAAACTTTTAAATCCATTCAAGTCGATTAATTGAATTATGAATTTGGCTAGTTAAGTTGCAAAACTCATGTCAAACAAATATGTCAACATTCTAATATTAAAAAAATATATTTTGATTTTTTTAAGGTAAGTCATATTTTTATTAGCCATTTCTATTGCCTTGGAATTCTTTAAATAAACTGGGTCATTTCATAACAAATCTCTATATTGTTTAAACTTGGATTAGATAAAGAGTTAAATAAAAAAAAATTAAAGTTATCTTGTTTGGCCAGATTTAATAATAATGCCAATAATTTTATGGCTTAGATATTTTTTTTGAGTTCAAAATTTTTTTGATTTAAGCCGCAGTGTAATGGAATAGAGAAAAGAGAGAGAAAGATGCTAGAGAATAGGGTATTAAATTTTTTTTTGTCTTATCTATATTTCTATAATACTTGCATCATATAAACTTATATAAACTTGACCTAAGTTGACCCATCAAAGTTGAATAATATAAATATTATATATGATTATGAAATAAAAAACTACAAAAATACATATCACAAGTTAGGGGTGGGTAGGAATACGTGAGACCCAAACTGTATATTATATATATACTCCCTTTTGTCTTTATGTATTGATATTGTCATGGATTTAGTATTGATTCTCATTTTTTTTAAGAATGTTTCGACTTTAATGTTTTTATTGACAAGCTTTGTATTAAATTTATATGACGTAACTTAAAAAAGCTTGTTTCTTTGCTAGAAGGGAGATGGAGGTAATTAAAATTTAATGACGATGCAAAGTATGAAAAACAGACATGACACTAGAGGTGTCATGTTATATGTAGTCTATTTTGTAGGCTTGTCTCTAAATACGAATATAAGAGAATTACCAATATAAACTTAATTTGTGAATAATTGTAATATCTATATATATAAAAAAACTTATCCCTACTTGGAGTATCAAAGATACTAAGTATAAGAAAACTGGTCAAGATTATAATTTGTAAAATATCATAATCTAAATTGAATACAGTTACGGATCCATACTTGATCAAACCATATCTATGAATGCCTCTATAAAAAACAATTCAAATGAGAGAAATCTGTCAACCACTAAGATTTCACACAATCAAAATAGTAAAGCTTGGTGTTGAAGAGTTTTATTTAACGAGAGGAGTTTAATGATCGTTGTTTTTTGTCTTTTTTTACTTGAAAAAAATAATCGGGCTTGTGAAATAATTTTTTCAGTTTGATTTTGTATTTTATACTGACTTGGGTATTTTTTGTGCTGAGATATTAGTTTATCGAGGTTATCATTGTGTTTTTTAGATGTTTGATGTCAAAATATAATTTTAAACCATGAAACACCCCAATTCAATTTTCTGACTTTTCGACGCTTTTAAGTGCCCAAAATTTAGGATGACAAATGACGTATCATTTATATTTTTTTCCCTCTCCATAACAAGAAAAAACTACTTATTGTTCATCTCTTAAAAACATAAAAAAATATAAACAAGGTTAGGTGCTAGGTCTAAGTGTTGTTGCCTTTCTTTTACCTGGATCAGGTGCTGTGGCTACCTCTTTTTTTCTTTTTTAATTTAAAAAATTTATTAGCCATGATAATTCATTACTCTTCAATTTTTTCATTAGAATATCAATAATTTTTTTTAATTATCATGTAATTGATACACAAAAATTAAAATTAATTGCTCACGAATATTAATTTTAAATCAAATTTTTATTTTTTAAAAAGTTTAAATAGATTCTAGATATAATTTTATCACATTAATTATTTTCTTAACCGTCAATCACACACATTTTTTTAACAGTGATATACCTATTGATTCTAGTTATATATATAAAACTTGCTTTGACAATCATGGGGCATTTTGTTCGTCAAACAGTGATTCTAGCTAAAAAATACTTTTATTAAAATAATCAATAGGTACATTAATAAAAGAATTGAATTTAGACCAGAAACAATATCTTTTCTACTTACTAGAATCAATACATTTATTACAATTATAATGCTTTTATTTAATGGCATGTATCAATTTTTTAATTTATAGTTATAATTTGTTTTTACAAGAAAGAAATTAACCTCATTTATGCTGTTTTTTTTAATCAATAAAAAACACACTACCCACGAGTTAAAGCAGGGAATCAAACATGCATTAAATATTGAAAAGCAATTGAATCATGGACTTATAATATTACACGAACAAAAAGTTCATAAAGCTTGACGAGTTTCGGTTTTTCCGTTTAGCTACAGGGCGTCTCAATTAGAGATTTGTTAACCTTCATTTTATTTTGTTTAAGATTATTTATTTTTTATATTGTTCTGATATATTGATATTAAAAATAAAATTAAAAATAATAATATTATTTTAATATATTTATAGTTTAAAAAACACTTTAAAAAATAATATATACTATATTTAAAAATATTATTTTAATATATCCGTCGTTTTCTATCAATTCAAGGGATGAGATACAAAAGTGTCTCTTCAACCATTTTGTGGTAGGGAGTTAAAAAAGGGGCATATGATAATTGCCTCCATGCTCCTTCGAGAGGTCCACCTGTTTAATGCCCGTCGTTTTCCAAAAAACAAAACCCCCCCAAAAGAAAGGCGTGTCTAGCATCGTGTTTCACGCGCCACCCATTCGATTCTTATCACTGCCAGGATAATCGATGGCCCTCGAATTCAACGGATAGTGGCTTGCACGTGCTAGAGAGAAAGTTTGATGGAGAGAGAGATTGGGTCGGCCCAAATAGAAGTATTGATCATGGATAGTTGGGGTCCTTTTTTTTTTTTTTTTTCCTGTGTCGTGTGGGTGATATTGCAAAATCCTCGTCCCCCTCTTCCCCAAACCCCAAAAATTGCACTCTAATAAAGCACTTGCTCGTTGTTCAAATTAGGACCTGTGGGACCACCGAAACTAGCAGCTAAGGGTAGTGTTCACCACCCAAGCCGGGGGGGGGAAAGTGACAAGTGCTCCAACTTTTAAAAGACAACTAAGATCTGAGTCATTTTTTTCATCAAAGTATTTTTGTATTTTTTTTAATTCCCTTTACTAGTCTGGACAAGATAAACTCTAGCTCTTTAAATCATGGTTAATTATACGGTTCACTTCTAGGGACACCTGGGAAGAGGGGGAGAGGTGATAAAAAAAAGGGCTTGAAACGAAGGTAATGAAGTTAAATGGGTTTGACATGGGCTTGAATCCTGTTGATGTGGCGTCTTTAACATGACTCCACAAAATTGCAAGTTATGGACCCCCGCGAACTGATCCAGTGGTTGTCTCAGACTTCTGGCGATGATCATTCAAGCGACCGGAAGTAGAATCCATTGCAAAGCATAGAAGAGCATTTAACATTGACGGCAAGTAGCACAACCTAGCCCCATTAATTGCCACCAAGTGGGTGCTTCTTAGACACAAAAGAGTCCTGCACTGGCCCTAAAATGCCATGTTGGTCGGTCAAGTGAGGGCCCGGTTCTATTTCGCCGACCCTTTCGGCATAAACTAAACACTAGGAAATCTGAGTATGGCGCAATTACTTCAGACAATTAAGTTCAGCTATTCAAATATTTTGGTTCTCTTTTATCTTTATATTGTATGTATGTATGTATGTATGTATGTATTTCTTGACGCCTTCTCTTAATATTGCATGTAAGATAATAACATGGAAAACAAGCCTACTTACTAGCTACCGCCTCACTTTAAGGGCATCTTCTATCTAAATGTTATTCAGCTACACATGAACAAGACGAACTACTCACCAGGGCCGACCCAATCCAGTCAACCCGGGCTGCGAGGGCTTAAAGCTCTCATTTAATAGGTGTTGTGATGAAGCAAAAGCCCACTTGTTTTCTTTCCCAGTCCATCGTTTTTTTAGTCTCTAATGGGATGCCAAGGCACTTCCCCATCTTGACGAGCTGACACTCACCAAATTTTTTATTTTTTATATCACTCCTGGATTTATTTTTTTTATTTTTTGTGGGGGTAAGATAGACATAATAATCTCTGAAGCACATTGATATGGTCAATGCAAGCATCCGCCGTTAATTTTGAAAGCATTCTTATGATTATTCATTTGTTAAATATCAAGAAGTATTTGCCATGGACATTTCGGAAGTGTTTTTTGAAAAATAATTTTTATTTTATTTTTTAAAATTATTTTTTATAGTTTTTTTAATAATTTTGATGGACTGATATTAAAAATAAATTTTAAAAAATAAAAAAAAATACTATTTTAATATATTTTTTAATAAAAACATTTAAAAAAATAACGGAGTTTTAATTACTTGGACAGTGGGGATGCCTCTATTGTCTCACATGCTAACGTCGTGCATTTTGACTTGTATCAAAGCTCAGATTTCTAGTAGACTAATTAATGGATTAAAAAAAGATTAGACATGAGAAAGAAATACTGAACTAGATTAAAAACTTTAGACCTCACTCCCACAATCCAATTCACAAGCTCGAGTTCGAATTAAGGAGCACATAAATATTCATGTTTTCTACATTTGTTTTTTAATTTCTGAAGAGCATATCGAGGTAACAAAGAGCGAAATAAGATGATTATAATAAAATCCATGTTGTGGCAGTGCACTACTGTACAAGTCACAAAAGATCAACTTGCAGTGCTAAAAAAATCCGTATTTAAGTCGTGTGTATTACCCGAAGCCTCAGAGCTACCTTACAAGGCTTGGACGCACATATTTGCAAGCAAATAGCAGGACTTGTTCAATTCAACACTCATTTTGAATATATGTAAAAATGGCGGGGAGTATCAACTAACCCGCTGAAGCCGGTGCTTCCTCCAAGTGGCAGCAGCCCAGCGAGTCCTCATTTCTCTTCCACCACCCTTCCTCCTGTCTCTTATGTTGATTGTCCAAGAAGAAACGGTAAAAAATGTATCAAATAATCAAATATTTTCTTTGTTGAAGACGGATTTAATAACAAGAAATCAGAAAGAAGACAATTTTTCCAAGTGATCTAAATCTTAACAAAGAACTTGGACCGGATAATAACAATGAACAGAAACTAACTCATATAGGGTAAGAGGTCATGAATGCAGCCCTCCCTCCTATCATGATCTCCTCAGGTTTTCTGCCAGCTGGGTCTCTGGTGGAATCACTGATTCATATATCCAATGAAGTTGCTTCAGTGGAAAAGCTTCCTTTCGTACAATTTAGGAACATTTCAACCATGATAAGGAGGGTCAAACTTCTTTCTTCTTTGTTTGAAGATATACGAGAAACAAATAGTCCACTTCCTCCATCTTCCATCCTGTGCCTCACCGAGCTCTTTTCTGTGATCCAAAGAGTCAAGCTTTTGATTCAAGGGTGCAAGGATGGCAGCTCTCTTTGGGGTCTCATACAGACACAGTTTTTGTCGAATCAATTCCACGTGCTAGTGAAGGAAATGGGCGGGGCACTTGATATCCTACCTTTAAGCTTGCTTAATTTAAGCGCGGATACAAGAGAGCAAGTTGAACTTCTTCACAGGCAAGCAAAGAGGGTTGACTTGCTTGTTGACCCTCGAGAACTTCAAAGAAGAGAGGAGCTTTTACAAATAATGACGAGGAACAATCAGAAGAACAGCGGGAACAAGGGATTCGATGATTTTGTCAAATTGAAAGAAGTTTTGAACTGCATTGGTTTGGGAAGTCCATTGGAATATGATGAAGAAATTAAGAAGCTTGAGGCAGAAGCAGCGAAGCAGGCAGGCACGGGAGGACTTATCGTGGTTTCCAATATAAACAATATTATCTCTCTTGTAACATATTCCAAGTCCGTGATTTTCGTTGACAGAGATAAAGAGGAGATCAAAGAAAACTTCAAGCAGCGGTCTGCATTCATGAATAGAAATCAAGATGTTTCTTCATCTTCTCAGTCAATACTATCAAATATACCTGATGAATTCCGGTGCCCTATTTCCCTCGACTTGATGAAAGATCCTGTGATAGTTGCATCTGGACACACTTACGATCGCAATTCAATTGCTCAATGGATCAACTCAGGGCATCAAACTTGTCCTAAGAGTGGGCAAAGACTAATTCACATGGCCCTGATACCTAATTATGCACTGAAGAGTCTGGTGCATCAGTGGTGCCAAGATAACAATGTCCCGTTAATTGACGATTCATCTTCATCTTTCTCAAAATCTGAGAGTAGCAGAGGCAAGAGCAAGTTAAGTGAGAAAGCGATCGATCATATATCTGCTACAAAAGCTGCCATGGATGCTGTCAAAATGACAGCTGAATTTTTGGTCGGTAAGATAGCAATGGGGTCCCCAGAAATTCAGAGGCAGGCAACTTACGAGCTGAGAATATTAGCAAAAACTGGAATGGGTAACCGCAGGATAATTGCTGAGGCAGGAGCCATACCTTTTCTGGTGACATTACTGAGTTCCACTGATCCAAAAACTCAAGAAAATGCTGTCACTGCCATGCTTAACCTTTCCATATTGGAAAACAACAAGACATTAATAATGTCTGCCGGTTCGATCGACAGCATAATAGATGTTCTTGAATCAGGGAAAACTATGGAGGCAAGAGAAAATGCAGCAGCAACAATCTTTAGCCTGTCGATCATAAATGATTGTAAGGTGACTATTGGCACCCGTCCTAGAGCATTCTCAGCCTTGGTTGGGCTGCTGAGAGAAGGCACATCAGCTGGAAAAAAGGATGCTGCAAGTGCTCTATTCAATCTATCAGTCTATGAAGCTAACAAGGCAAGTGTTGTGGTTGCTGGGGCAGTTCCTTTGCTTGTTGAAATGTTGATGGATGACAAGGCAGGCATAACAGATGATGCCTTAGCATTGCTGGCTCTGCTTTTGGGTTGCTCTGAAGGGCTGGAGGAGATAAGAAAGAGCAAAGTTCTTGTGCCTCTTCTCATAGATCTGTTAAGGTTTGGATCCACCAAAGGGAAGGAGAACTCGATAACTCTGTTGTTGGGGTTGTGCAAAGATGGAGGAGAGGAGGTTGCAAGGCGTCTGTTGATAAATCCGAGAAGTATACCTTCCCTTCAAAGCTTGTCCGCGGATGGTTCTCTAAAAGCCCGAAGAAAAGCTGATGCTCTGCTTAGATTACTGAATAGATGCTGCTCGCAATCCCATAATCCTGTTGGATAAAAAGAGAACAAGAATATACAGAAAGGAGTGTAAATTTCTGGAAATCATATAAATGATACTGATGTTCTTTTGTTACTGTAATTTACTATCAAAGTTTAGTTTGAAAGAACTTGTAATACATGTTTGTAAATCGTCTCTCACACAGGCTACCTTGCACTAAAAACAACAAATAAGTAACATTTCGATGCAAACCATGCCTGACTTCAACCCCCATAGCATTCATCCTCTTGGAACTGGCTCAGTAGCAACCTGTCACCAAATCAAAAGCAGGAATCCACGGCTGTTACCATTTTTAGAGTTGATGCTTTTTGTACAAGAATATTCAAAGAAATAGCATGTTAAGTTGCTCGATTTTCAAATTGATGAACAGGAACTCATAAATCAGAGCTGCAGCATATTTAATTAAAGAATGTTGAAATAAAAACCGTGGTGAAAATTAGTTCAGGCTGCTTGAACAAGCGAAGGTAAACTCCGAAGATCGGTACGGGGCAGTTTCACAGTAACCAATGGTTCTTGCAAGTGAAAACGTTCCCATCCTTTCACATCAAATCTTCGCTGCTGCAATAACTTTGATCCATGCCCTAGGATTCGAGCCTATTTGACATTAAAAAAATATCATTTACCATATCATAGTATCAATCACACATGAATTTCGCATTTTCAATTGAAAAGCAACAACTCAGCAGCATGCACTCTGCCTCTTTTTTTTTTTTTTTAAAGATTGCTTCTCTTTCATCTACCAATAAAGCCTGCGACTCACCAACAGTACCTGATGGTGGAATCAAATATATTTCAATCTGGAATATAAAAAGGGCACAGCCACATTACACGATTTAAGATAAATCAAAGATTCAACTGCAGCTGATTAGAACTCCAGAAAATACTAGAACCAATACTTGTACTCACGGAGAGCTAGGCTGATAGAATGAAAGAACAAAAAAAGTAAGGGAATTATGTAGTTTATTGCTTGAGCTCTTACATTGTTTCTACACTGGATGTACATTAATTTCACACAAAGGTAAATAAAAATAAAAATATATATAGATATCTAATGCACAAAAGTTACAAGAGCTCTAGACGAGACCATGCAGGTTTTACAAGGCTCTAATTCAATGAATTACAGCAAAGACGATCCTATGAGTAAATGGTTTTAACTTGTGTTTAACCAGTCAAAACTACAAAGGCGAGCTTTCCAGTTCATTTGTGAACCACGATTCACATTGAACCAGATCAAATGACTGTCAATATTTACATCTCTACCAATTCCAACTGAATATGTGGGCCATGTATCTTGTAATTCCAGTGCCAGCTTCCACTATCCATTATTTTTTGTTCTAAAGGGTTGAGCTGGACTTGCAAACCTGTGTCAAACGAAAAGTAAATTGATTCTGTAATGAGATAATAACATCCACGCTATAAAAGCACCGAGAAGAAACCGCACATGATACAGCTTCATTAAACGCATCAATAAAGCAAGTACAAACTGCGTTTTTAACTTGAAATTAAGGACGAGAAGTTTCATTATAGTTTCCTTACACCTACGAGACCTAACACTTGACAAACCATAAACAATGTGCACGTCTGATATCTGTGTAGTGGAGCAGAGTGACCAAAATATCTGCATCTCTGAAGTTCCAAGTTTTTCTACAGTATGGAAGCAAATTTTGGTCCTGCTGTCCTAGTAGACTGAAATCTTTCAGCCAGATTCTTAAAACCAAACAATCCTACAAGGACAGAAGCTGGCATCTTGTAACACAATGAAATCCTCACAAAGTAATATGCAATGTCCATTTCCCAGTTCAAGGGGGCAATAATGCACTTTATCAATTGCCAAAGAGAATAACAGTCATGTAAAACATCAAACTGTATAAATGAAGTCTCTTTTAATATACAAAAGCATCACATGTGTGTGTGCATGGATGCAAGCATGTGTGACTCTCAGTGTGGGTTTGAATATTCAGTGGCTTGGTTTTTTAGAAGGAATACAGAGCAATTATGCAAGAGTTTTTAGGATATCAAATGCAAGGAACCTGAATCTCCTGATGTTATCTTCATTTTGTAGCCATCTGGTATTTCAAATATCTGATTTCCCTGAATCAAAGGGGAAAAAAAGAGAAGTGAGCACAGGCTCACAGCTATAGGAAGCTTTTAATATAGAATCCTAGCACGATACAGGTCTAATGAGTTTAAAATACAAAAGCCAGAGAACCATTAAGAAGATTCATAACAACCGCTGATTCTCCAACAACCTAATTCTCTATGGCCACAATATTAGGTAAATGGATGAGAATTTGTAGTAATGCACCAATCAGCTTCCAGGCGGGTGTACTTCACAAAAAGATTTAACTAATTGATCCTCCTTGTCATGCCATGAGTTGATTCTCCAACAACCTAATTCTCTATGGCCACAATATTAGGTAAATGGATGGAATTTGCAGTAATGCACCAATCAGCTTCCAGGTGGGTGTACTTCACAAAAAGATTTACCTAATTGATCCTCCTTGTCATGCCATGAAATTTCCATCATCGTTCATTATGCCATTGAATAGAGTTTTTTAGACAAGGATGCTGTCCTAGGCTTCATTTATATCTCGTACTCTTGAAAAACTGTCCTAGAATTTGTTTATTTGAGTGTAGACCCTGCAAGGAGGCCATACCTCCTTGAAGCCTAATTTTTGGAAATTTCCTCATATCAATTCATAGAAAAAATAAAAATCAGAAAGGAGCTTCTGCTGCAGGTCCTAATCAGGGATTCTCTATAAAGTACTTCACATCATAATCAAAACAATCCGATTAACCAACAGAAACAGTTCTGATGTCCTCGTGTCAATCTAACCTGTATGGTAACGTTGTCAGCCTCAAATTCAGCATTTCCATGCAGAATAACCTCCAATGCCTCAAACCGTTGCACATCATGCTTCCAGTATATATTGTCTCCAAAACTCCAGTTAATCCCTTTGTTCACAACTTTGACATTTTGCAGTCTACATCTTCCACACCTAGAGAAATGGAATTAAGATCATTGAATTTCATTTCAGCATATTCAAAAATCTGGAAGAGCGCACACAAATTTTTACCTGTTCCCATACTGTAATATTGGATCACCATTTGGATCAATCCTGGTTGAGCCCATGACATTTTCAGCAATAATGATCAAGCTTCCATCTAGCTGGAGGAGGAACATCAGATGAGCATAAAATGTACTAGCTTGCATGCCTTTTTTCAGACTATTAATCTATGTCACCTGAACATTTCTCCATGAGAACTCTGCGACCTCAATTTGTAGCTCAGAACCCTTAGATATGGATCCTCCATTAAACTGGTAAAGCAAAAGAAATGAAACACAATCATGATTGGTTGATCAACTTCGTAATGGGGAACTAACAAAAGCCAATCAGGCACACATTCATTATGCCAGAGTGATGACTGATGAGAGAGAGAAAGATTTCTTGGCAAACAAGACATTTGCAAGAAGTTACAAGAAATGTGTGGTAGCAAAGCTTTTGCACGTTGAAAAGTCCAGCAGCCACTTGGCTAGGGACATTTAACCAGATACAGAAATAAGCAAACCAAATATTAATAGATGTATATAACACCAAATAGCCATCATCATATAACAAGCATCATGCACCATTCGCTATGGAATAAAGAAAGAAATATACACAGGCAAACCATGACAACAGCCACAATAAGCTTACCTTTTGTCTTGTGACCTCCCAAAGTGGGCCAAGAGCAGGATGCAGAAAGATGAGAAATGGTGGTCCAGACTCAACATATTTATCATTACCTTCAATCTACAAACAGTAAAGAAGTTAAATAAATGGAAAGAAAAACACAGCGCTGGCAGACAAGCACAAACTCAATAACCTTAAGTAAATGAAACACAATATGAAGGGCAGTTGACCTCAATTCTCAGAGACAAACTAGGGCTCTATACTATAATTAAGAAGATACCTGAGGAAGCTCTATATCACAATGTGAAAGAATATCATAGGCATTCCGTAAGATATCCAAGAGTGCACCATCTGGAGTCTGCATACAAGCCCAAAGTAACAGATTAACATGAGGGATATTGATCACGTCAAGCGATTAGCGAGATGCCACAAATCAGGCTTCAAAATTTGGTATCCAAACTCAAGGAGCTAAAAATAACACTTTTGGAAGTTTGGAGACTCACTGATATTTCCGATACATACCAGTACACAAACAAGTAGGGCTTGTAAATCAATGATTCAATTGTTGATTTATTACATCCTAATATACTCAACTACATAGACACTTGCAGATTTAAGCCACTGATCAATCCTCAAATGACTGAGTGGGGTCCAAGATAACCAGCCATACAAAACAAAACGTGAGCTGAGAAAATCTAGATGCTTATGGCTGTGAGATCATAAAGTAGAGACTAGTACCCACCAGAAAGTGGCTTCTCAAAGAGAAGGAACAATAAATTATCTCAATAAATAGAGAGAGGAACTAAATCCCTTCCATGGATTTGGAAAAAAAATAAATTCCATCATCAAAATTTTTTCAAACTGCTGAGAACAAGTATAGTAACTAGCAGAATTTACAACCTGGTGCAAGGAATTGTCAGAATGTCTTCTTTTCCTCTTAGCAGATGAAGTAACCCTTCTTCGCTCATTATACACAATAAAGGTATCCAGCTGATCTGCACAAGTGTGTTGACAGGAAGATTTTAATTACCAAAAAACATATATCTAAAATTTATATTAGAACATGCATTCGCATGTCTATGTGTGTAATCCTCATGGGCACATTATATGCTAAAAAGTTCAGAAAGAAAGCAAGACAATATATTGTACCTTCCACACCCTTGTAACATCTGGATAAATAGGTGTTAGTGAAGTTATCTGCAATATTTTGCATTGTGCATTCCAGCCGACCACCAGAGACACTGCAAGTAAAACAGCAATAAGCCAAACAGCATCCAGGGCAAAAGTTTCTCAACTGCAGGCGGGGATTAAAAAATTTCAGAAGGAAAGATGGATATCATTAAATAGTGAGGATAGATCAGACAGTATTCTCTCCTCAATATACTATCTGGAGAAACAAAGAAAACCTGGAACAAAGATAACTACAGTAGCAAA